CAAAAAAAAAAAAAAAAAGAAAGAAAAAAGAAAAAAAAAAAAGTAAATTCAAGCCCATATACTCTGGATTTGAATCCCAGCTCTGGCACTTACTAGCCTTATGACCCTGGACAAGTCATTTAACCTCTCTGAGCCTCAATTTTCTCACCTGCAAAATGGGGATATTAATAGTTCTTTCTTTTCTTTTTTTGAGTTGGAGTCTCACTCTGTCACCCAGGCTGGAGTGCAGTGGCATGCCACAGCCACCACAGCCTCAACCTGCTGGGCTTAGGTGATCCTTCCGCCTTAGCCTTCCATGTAGCTAGAACTACAGGCATACACCACCACACCTGGCTAATTTTTTTTTTTAATTTATTGTAGAGATAAGAACTTGCCAAGTTGCCCAGAGCTTGAACCCATAGGGTCAGGCAATTCTCTCAGCTCAGCCTGCCAAAGTGCTGGGATTATAGATGTGAGCCACCACGCCTGGCAATTTTTTGATTTATTGTAGAGATGGGGTCTCACCAAATTGCCCAGGCTGGACTTGAACCCCTAGACTCAAGCAATTCTCTTGCCTCAGTCTCCCAAAGTGCGGGGATTACAAATTTGAGCCACCGTGCCCTGCTGTTTTTTTTTAAGTAGGAGTCTCACTCTGTCACCCAGGTTAGAGGGCAGTGGCACATTCATGGCCACTGCAGCCTCAACCTGTTGGGCTCAGGTGATCCTTCTGACTCAGCTTTCCAAGTAGCTGGAACCACAAGTGAGCGCTACCACACGTGGTTAATTTTTTTTATTTATCGTAGACACAAGGTCTTGCCAAGTTGCCCAGGCTGGTCTCGAACCTCCGGACTCAGGCATTCCTCTTGCTTCTGCCTCCCAAATTACTGGGATTACAGGTGTGAGCTACTGCACCTGGCAGTAGTTGCTTTCTAAAAGAGTGGTAGTGAAAATTAAATCAGAGAATATGAATAAAGTGCAAAAATATTATGTATTGTCATTCTTCTGAATTTAACTTCCTTATTTAAGTAAGGGTCTCACCCTGTCACCCAGGCTGGAGTGCAGTGGCACAATCATGGCTCACCATAGCCTCAAAACCTTGGGCTCAGGTGATCCTCCCACCTCAGCCTCCTGAGTAGCTGGGACTACAGGCACACATCACCTGAGGTCTCACTATGTTGCCCAAGCTGGGCTCAAACCATCCTCCCACCTTGGCCTCCCAAAGTGTTGGGATTATGGCATGAGTCACATGCTTGGCCTGCTTCTGAATATGACTAAATTCTTCCCCAAACAGTAAGGATATAGGAGGCTAAGTGTAGATCATAAATCCTAACAATCAGGTTTGGCCTCAGAGATAGAGTTTAGCAACTTCCTTGTTCCTTTATTCTTCTATCCAATACAGCATTTAGAGGATGCCATCGCAACCAGAATAACTAAGCCTCACCTTCCAGGGCTTCCTGCATTATCCCTGACTTACCCAGATGGTTGGGGGCAAGGGGTAGAGCTGATACAGGTGCCCGGGAGAACTGCTCCCTCCGGCTTCTCTGCTGCTTCAGGTTCTGAGAATAGGAAAGAAATGCAAAGGTAATGAGACTGCTAGAAAAGTAGGCACATTAAAGAGGTTCCATGATTCTATGGAACTTGTCCCTTCCCCATTTCCCTCTTAGATCCTAACCCGCATGTTTCAGTCCCTCCTACACAGATTCTTCTCACCTCTGTCCTAACTTCTAAAACTGATTTGAAGTCATTGGACATGGATGCCAGTTTTGACTGGAAGAAAAGGAAAAAGCATCAGCCAAAGACGACAATACCTTCCTCCCCTTTGTCACCCTCCTTTCTTCCCCAGGGCCCACCTGCAAGGAGACGACAATGGTGTTGGAATGGGTCTGCAGGTGCCGACCACTCTGGCTGCCCTTTGCCCTCACGAAATCCTGAAGCTGAGCAATTTGTTTGTTGAGGCTATTGATGTCCTGGTAAAAGAGCCCACAGAAAAACGAAGTATTAGCCAAAGAGTAGTGAGTCAGAACCTCTCCCCATGGCCATCTGTGGCAGGAAGGGCAGAGTGGAAGTTACTAGCAGGAGTGAGAGTATCCAAGTCAGACCAGAAGGGCCTGCTAGGATTTTCCAAGGTCTAGTGTTTGCTCTGGCTCAGTCCCTACAGAGAACAGTAAGAAAGAGGCAAAGTAGGGTCTTATCCACTGGTAAATGATTTCTTTACCCTCCATCCTACTGCCCTGATCCACTCTGTAAGGCCATGCTCATGGCCTCCATTTATTTTTTTGAGTTGGAGTCTCACTCTGTCGCCCAGGCAGGAGTCCAGTGGCATGCTCACAATCACCGCAGCCTCAATCTGGTGGGCTCAGGTGATCCTTCCACTTCAGGCTTCCAAGTAGCAGGAACTACAGGCGCATACCACCACGCCCAGGCAACTTTTAAAATTTATTGTAGAGACAAGGTCTCATCAAGTTGCCCAGGCTGGCCTCAAAATCCTGGGCTCAGGCAATCCTCTCACCTCTGTTTCCCAAAGTGCTAGATAAGTCACCGCACCCAGCTTATGGCCACCCTTTCAATGTCCAAAAATCTTGACCCAGAGCATGCTGACCAACAAAGCACCTGGAAAGTACTCAGGAAAAAGGAAGAGTCAAAGGCACCATAGTTTCCCAGAGGCATCACCAAAATGATTTTTATTTATTTATTTAGAGTTAACATCTTACTCGTTGTCACCCAGTATGGAGTGTAGTGGCATGCTCACGGTCACTGTAGCCTTGACCTGCTGGACTCAGGTGATCCTTCTGCCTCAGCCTTTCAAGTAGCTGGAATTACAGAATGCACACCACCACACCTCGCTAGTTTTTATGATTTATTGTAGAGTCGAGGTCTCATCAAGTTGCCCAGGCTGGTCTTGAACCCATGGGCTCAGGCAATTCACCTGCCTTGGCCTCCCAAAGAGTTGCACACTGAAGCTTTCTACACAAGACTAATGTGTCATCTGCTCCCCAATCCACCTGCCAAGAGCCAAGTGAGATGAGGTAGATGAAAGAGGAGGCTGGGGATGGCAGAGAAAGCTTTCCCAGCATAGCTAGAGTCAGAGAGGGACCAAAAAGAAGGATTGGAAGAAGTAAGGAAAAGTACAAGAGATAGGCTAAGATGGGTACAGTAGCTCACGCCTGTAATCACAGCACTTTGGGAGGCCAAAGTGAGAGAATTACCTGAGCTCAGGAGTTCAAGACCAGCCTGGGCAACTTGACAAGACCTGTCTCTACAATAAAACCAAAAATTAGCCAGACAGTGTGGCTGTAGTTCCAGCTACTTGGAAGGCTGGAGTGGAAGGACCACCTGAACCCAGCAGGTCGCGGTTGCAGTGGCCATGAGGATGACTCTGCACTCCAGGCTAGGCAACAGAGTGAGACTCACTTGAGCCCAGCAGGTCAAGACCAGCTGGGGCAAAAGAGTGAGATCTTGTCTCTACAAAAAAATCAAAAAATTAGCAGGGCATGGTAGCACACACCTACATTCCCAGCTACTTGGGAGGCTGAGGCAGAAGGATCACCTGAGCCCAGGAGGCCAAGACTGCAGTGAGCCATAATTGTGCCACCGTACTCCAGCCTGTGCAAGAGAGTGAGACCTCAACTCAAAACAGCAAAAATAAAAACAGCAACAAGGGGGGGGGGGTGGGATTAGCAGCAGTGGGAAACTGCCAGGGGATGGGGAGGGGGTACACCTCACCAACAAGAGTAGCTGCATAATGAAAATTTGTATACCTAACCCTAAATTGTGCTCCACATCTTTAAAATTTAAAAAAAATCAGTCAGGTGCGGTGGCTCAAGCCTATAATCCCAGCACTTTGGGTGACCGAGGCAAGAGGATTGCCTGAGCCCACAGTTTTGAGACCAGCCTGGGCAACATGGTGAAACCTCATCTCTACAATAAAAATTAAAAAAAAAAAAAATTAGCTGGGTGTGGTAGCACGTGCCCGTAGTTCCAGTTACTTGGAAGGTTGAGATGGAAAGATTGCCGACGCCCAGCAGGTCAAGACTGCAGTGGCCGGGAGCATGCCACTGCACTCCAGCCTGAGCGACAGAGTGAGACTCCAACTAAAAAAAAAAAAAAAAAAAAAAAGCCGGTCATGGTGGCTCATGTCTATAATCCCAGCCCACGGGTTCGAAACCAGCCTGGGCAACTTGGCGAGACCTCATCTCTACAATTAGTCAAAAAACTAGCCAGGCATAGTGGCATGTGCCTATAGTTCCAGCTACTTGGATGGTTGAGGCGGAAGGATCACCTGATCCTAGCTGGTTGAGGCTGTGGTGGCCGTGAGCATGCCATTGCACTCCAGCCTGGGCAACAGAATGAGATTCCAACTCAAAAAAAAAAAACACACACACACAAAAACGGGCTGGGCACGGTGGCTCATGCCCAGCACTTTGGGAGGCCGAGGTGAGAGGACTGTCTGAGCCCACGGGTTCGAGAATAGCTGAGAAACTTGGTGAGAACTCATCTCCACAATAAATCAAAAAATTAATTGGGCACAGTGGCATGTGCCTGTAGTTCCAGTTACTTGGAAGGTCAAGGCAACGGTAGCTGTGAGCAGCATGCCACTGCACTATTCCAGCATGGGTAACAGAGTGAGACTCCAACTCAAAAAAAAAAAGCAACAAAATAAAGCTAGATTGGATGACTTCTAGAGTTTCTCCAATTACAATACCAACACCAGTCAGTCTCTTGAGACTCCTGGATTCATTTCCACTGATGACCAGTCTGTTCATTTGAAGTTGCTATAGCTTCCTCACAGTCGTGTCCAAAATTACATGTTTCTCACCTGAGGTTCTAGCTTAGAAAATAGTACCACTTCCCATCTAGGCACTCAAACTAGAAGCTTCTAAGTCACATACTCACGTGTCCTTAACATACATGTATGTCACAAAGCAAGTATCTATTGAGTGCTTGCTACGGACTCAGCACTGTGCCAAACATACAGCTTTGTATTTTTTTACTGTGTGCCACACAACTTGCTAAGTAGCTTACAACTTTTACCTCTGTCCCTAAGTATAACACAGTAACAGAACTCCAATCCTCCCCCAAAAGTTATCACCCCTTCTTTCTTCTTTTCTATTTTGGTAAATGGCACCACAACTTACCAGGCACTCAGACTAAAAACTTAAGTCATCCTCAATTCCTCTCTTTTCTCCTAAATCCACATGGAATCTATGAGGAACTCACAAAGAACCTGTCTAATTCCTATATCTACTCTGAATCTGTACACTTCTCTCCCTCTCTACTGAACCCACCCTTGTTCAAACTGCCTTTTTTCTCTAAAAAAATCTCCAAGTTTCCAGCTTGCCTTCCTATCACAGCAACCAGAGTAATCTTTTAAACCAAAAACCAGATATGGCACCCCCATCCCTCTGCTTACGATCTCCCAAGAGCTTACACAAAATTTAGAACACACTGAGCACCATAACTCATGCCTGTAATCCCAGCACTTTGGGAGGTAGAGGCAAGAGGGCCTGCCTGAGCCCAGGGGTTCGAGACCAACCTGGGCAACTTGGTGAGACCTTGTCTCTACAATAATCAAGAAATTAGCCAGGACTGGTGGCACATGCCTATGGTTCCAGCTATGAGGAAGACTGAGACGGAAGGATAGCCTGAGCCCAGCAGGTCGAGGCTGCAGTGGCCATGAGCGTGACACTGCACTCCAGCCTGGGCAACAGTAAGACTCCAACTCAAAACAAACAAAAAAACCAAAAAAATTAGCCCAGCACGGTAGTGAGACTCCAACCCCCCAAAAAACACAACACAAATTCCTTAAATGGCACACACAGGTTCTCTCTGGTCAGGCCCCTGTCCAATTCTCCGACTCCACGCCCTAGCAGTCTCCTCTTCACTTGCTATGCTGCAGCCATACTGCATTCGTATGCTCATCAAATACAACAAGCTCACCCAAACTTCAGAACCTTTCCTTTGCTATTCATTCCCACTTTCTGGAATATGCTCCCACTGCAGCTCTGCATGACTAGCTTTTCCTCACCATTCTGGTCTCAAACGACAATTCTTTTTTTTGAGTTGGAGTCTCACTCTGTCGCCCAGATTGGAGTGCAGTGGCTGCTCCCGGCCACTGCAGCCTCGACCTGCTGGGCTCTGGCGATCCTTCCGCCTCAGCCCCTGAGTAGCTGGAATTACAGGCGCGCGCTACCATGCCTGGCTAATTTTTTTATTTTATTGTAGAGATGAGGTCTCGCCTGCCCAGGCGGGTCTCG